CCCCGGCAGCCGGCTGAGCCAGGGGGAATTCCCCTTTGCTAACAAGGCCCGCCCAGCGTGAACGCGGACGCTGCTGTGGCCCTGTCCTGGCTGCAGCCGACACAGAGATGGCTGCTGGGATTCACCGGGGGAGGAAAAAAACGGGGCAGCCCCAAGGCCACCGCTGCAGAAGTTATAGAGAAAGTAGCCAGCCTTTCACCCCTGCCTCCCACGCGCCTCCTGTCCCAGGCAGCTGCGACCATAACAAGCACTGAGAATTGCTGCCTGGGATGGAGCATCTCTGTTCCCCCTCGTTAGCAAAGGGGAGGTGGCTCGGGATCCCTTTCTCCTGCTCCCCATGGTGCTTTATCACGCAGCTGCGCCAAAGAATCTGCCCGGGAGTTGGGCGGGAGCCGAGGGCAGGACTTCGCAGCCTTTATTGCCGCTCCCGTCGCTGTTCGTTTGGGCTTGTGTGGCGGGAATGCTTGGACGAGATCAAAGCCCCGCTCGGCCAGCCCAGGTGTTTTTTTCAAGCACAGAATTAAAGAGGAAGGGGGGTTCTGCATTGAGTTGTTCTGAATGGGAGACCAACAGCCCGGACATGGCATTCCCGGGGGATTGTCCCTAACATCTCTTGCATTGTGGCCTGGCTCTGCGTGCAGACAGAGGCTGGTTTCTGATTTTGGCCAGGCTGGGAGCAGTCTGGAGAAGCTCCGGTGCCTTCAGTTTGGGATGATGCTTTTCCTGCCTGGAGGAGTGTACCATCTAAGGCAGTGCATTTGCCCCGTGGCGGGGTCTGCGGGTGGCCCGTGAGACATTTTGTGGCCGCTGTCCACGGGCCGCTGTCCCCCTGGTTTCTGTCTGCGTCGTTTTTTTTTCCTGCCGGTGTTAGTCAAGTGACATGCACGTGAAGCTGGGGTCAGTGACGTGAGGTGGGTGCTGGCTGCACACAGCACTGCCTGTGAGAGCCGTGCACACCCCCTGCCTCCTGTCGGCCCCCCCTGCAAAGTCTAGGTACAAAGACACAGTGAGCAAAACTCCCCTGTCAGGAGCCCGTCTTAGTTACGAGACTCTTGCGGCCTGCTGAGATGGGGGAGGCCACCCAGGCGGCCCTCTCCCTCGCCTCGGCGGCTCATGGTTGATCTAAGGCCAGCCCGAGGAACCAAGACAGGGCATGGAGCCGCTGGTGTGGGGCAGGGTTACGGAGGCTTTTGGAAGAAGGGTGGAGGGGAGATTGTCCCAGCTGGTGCGTAACCGGTGGTGCGACCCTTTGTCCAGGTGGTACTCACGGTGGAGAAGAAGATAGCCGACATGTGGATAAAGATCCCCTGCTTGGACCAGATCGGGAGCTGCACGTACGAGGACCTTTGCAACATCTTGGACAACGCCATCCCCCCAGGAACGCCATGCCCCGAGCCGCTCCTCAGCTACGGCCTCCCCTGTCACTGCCCCTTCAAACAGGTAAGCGCTGAGCCAGCGTTCTCTGCCTGTGCCGTGCCAGGACCCTGCCCTCCCCCCGGCTTGTGACATGGGACGGGCAGGAGGGTCACAGCCCCTATGTCTGGGCCCCGGCTCAGCAGGGCATCCTCCCTCCCCTCCCCTTTAAATAAATAAATTAATTAATGGAGATTGCCTATCTCCTAAAACTGGAAGGGACCTTGAAAGGTCATTGAGTCCAGTCTGCTGCTTTCACAGCAGGACCAAGTACCACCCTGATGAATTTTTGCCCCAAATGGCCTCCACAAGGATTGAACTCACAACCCTGGGTTTAGTAGGCCAATGCTTAAACCACTGAGCTATTCCTCCCCTCCATCAGCTGGCCTGTGCTGAGGAAGGGGCTTTGCCAGCCTTCGGAGGAGAGAGACTAGAATCCCGTGCAGCCCAGAGCAGGGGTGGAGAGGTGGCAATGTGTCTGTCAGTGGGGCAGATCTGGCTCTGGCTGTTGTCAGAGATGGGGGCCTGAACTAGACGGGCCCATTCTGCTCTGCTCTGACCCCATGCAAGCAGTGGGGAGTCAGGCTGGCGGAGTCTAGGTCCAGCAGGCCTACCCCGGGGAGATCTGGGGCTTTGCCTCCCAACCCCTCGTGGCATTCTGCGGCCGCTGTGGGCCAGCCGTGCGGGAAGGCCCCCAGGGCTGTGCAGCGGGGGAGGGAGTCCCTGAGAGCAGTCTCTGCTGCTGTGTGATCACTGGACTTTCGTGGCCTCCCCTGAGGGTTGCCAGCTGCCTGGTTTTTTACCAGAAGGTTCAGTCAAATGGAGCCCCTCTGGCTCCGGTCAGCCCTGCCAACTGCGCCAGCGGAAGTCCGGTGGGTGGTGCTGCAGGGCTAAGGCAGGCTAGTCCTTGTCGGACACTGGGGGTCCTGTTTGGGGCTCCCGGATTATAGATACTGTCAGTGGGAAAAGGTCCAAACGCCAGAATTTCACACAGGCCTTTGTAGTTTCTTGGGAAGGGATTCCAGCGGCGGTAAAGGGTGAGCTTAATCACCCGCAACTTCCTCACACCTAGCAGTACAGTAAGAACGCTATTTCCCCTCAGCGAGTCTCTGTTTCACACACACACAAGCGGGGTTCCCGCTGTGCCGCACGCAAGTTCTGCTTGGTAACCAGGGACGGTGGTTTCCAATTTACAGACGGCTTCTCTTCTCCATGTCTGTCCTTAGCACTCAGGTCTGTCCCCGGGTGTCAACTCACAAGGGCAGGGCCCAACTGGGTTGTGGATTCGCTCCGAGACAGAGTCGAGTAGGGATGGTTTGCTTTTATTAATCTCACGGCTATTACAGGCTTAATGCTGCCAGATGGTTACACAGCTACTGCAAAGTAATACGCCAATAAGCACAGGCACAGCAGTGTATAAAGGAGTCACAGGCACTGGGAAATGCTTACACCCCTTCAGTCTGCGGGGGTCCCGTCCCGGTCCCCTCGCCCCCAGCCACAGTGGACGTGGCTCCAGCTGGGGGGATCCAGGACACCCTTGGAGGTCTAGGTCCCTGGTGAGACTCACAGAAGGGCAGGACTCCCAGTGATCTTATATGTTAGCGGTTTCCTGAGTGTGTGCGAGTTGGCCCAGTGCCACTCACAACGTTCCCACGAGGCTGAGAACCGAGGTCATGTCATTTATCCCTTACTTGGCTCTCAATTAGCAAGCACAGGGAGCTGCGGCTGAGGAAGGCCGTCTGATATAGAACACCTGGTATTTTCACCAGCAGGGCTCATGGCTGGCCTAGAGGGATACACATTTAACCCCTGCAGGCCCACATATGGCTTTTTATGTGACACCGGGGCTGCGTGGCGGGCCGCTGGTTGACACTTTTACTTGAGCAGAGCGTCACCAGCTTCTTCAGGTGTCACAGTGAAGGAATCCCAACCCCCAAGGATTTACTTTGCTTGAGTCATATGCCCTTCTTCCCCCAAGGAGTCCCATGTCTAAAAAGCCTGCCCCGGGGGCGTGTGGTGACTAAGAGGGGAGACACCTCAAATCACCCCACATTTACTCATTCATCTTTACTCATTCATCGTTTGCCCTGGCTCTCCGCCTGACGTGCCGGCTGTCCGGTGCTGATGACCAAATCAGCTGGGGCTCCGGGCTGGCACTTGATACCTGTGATCATTACTTGTATATGGCCCCATGTTTGCTGACTGATGGGCCCAGTATTGACCATACAGTCCGTGCCCAGCTCTCCATCACCTTCTACTCAAAGGGACCTTGCTCCCCAGCGCCCCTGCAGTAATTCAGCCATGTTTAAGTCATGCTCACCATTCCTTTAGGATCGTCACACCCAGAATCCCTATCTGTCCTGGTTCTGTGCTGCACCCAGCCTGTGGCCAGCTGGTCCGGCTCCTAGATGAGGACGGGGGGGGGACCAGTGGGCTCAATATGCTGCCCCCGCCCCAAGCACTGGCTCTGTGCTCCCATTGGCTGGGAACCACAGCTGGTGGGAGCTGCGGGGGTGGTGCCTGCATGTGGACCCTCCTGGCCCCCCACCCCACTCCACAGCCTAGGCTGGGGGCGGGGAAAAGGAGGCAGCTGGCCCATGGCTCCTACCACTACTGTGGGAACCAGAGCCCCCAGGCCCTTTAAATTGCTGCCGGAGCATCGGATACTGTGTCCCGGGGAGCGTTAAGGGTCCCCAGCCCCGCCCTTCTGCCTGAGGCCCCTCCCCCCCAAGAGCACGGAGCTAATCCTCCCCTACGCCTTGCCCAAAGGCCCACCAAGTCTGTTGGTTCCCCGGGGTGCTGGCCCTGCCGGCCTCTTCCGAGATGCAGGGCAGGCAGGGATCCTGCCTTAGCTCCACTGTGCTGCTGACTAGGAGC